TAAAGAAACAAGAAGATAAAAAAAGGTTTAAATTTGAAAAAACAGAATTAGTTGAAAGAAAATAACGATTAAAAAAGGGATTAAATAATAAAAACAGTGATTAAAAAAGGAAATACACTGAAAAAAAATTTTATTCAAATGAAATCGGTTACCTGACTTTTATTAAAAAAATATTTATTTGTACTAAATATTTTTTTATATTAAATAATTATTATTTGAATCAATTAAATGGTATTTGTTTCAAATACAGAAATTATTGATACAAATACAATTTAATTTATTCGAATAAAAATTATTTGGTTTAAGTAAATATTTATTTGATAATTTGTCAAGTAATTGATTATTTGAATAAAATAATTTTTTTTCAGTGTACGAGAAGTTTCTTTTTTTTGGTGAAAATAATGTAAAGTTTATTTATTTATTATTTTTATTTTGTTTTGTTTATATCAGAAACATCCAGGATATCATCCAGAAGGAAAGGATCGGTGTGCAGCAAAGGCGGCGGTAACAGGACATTGTCCCAGTGTCTCAAAGACGGCAGCATCATCCCTGTCACTTGGAATAATCGTTTAATACGATTAAGTAGTGAATTGCCGACAACGTCGTGGGATTCACATTTTCTTATAGGCACAAGCAACGGACAAGCAGCGTGTATGATCATTGAAGACAATCCCCCTCTGCCCACCAGATCGAGGCAAACCCTGCACCAAGATACCACCCAACGATTTTTAAATTTGGTCCTGCCTAAACACAGGACCTCAAAATTTTCAAGGTACATGAGAAAATCTTTTTTTTTTAAAAAAACATTTTAACAGACCTCGGATCGACTTTAAGGCACAAAAAAAGTTGTTTTAGTCGATTTATATATGAAAAAAGTCTAAACATTCGATTTTTTTTATTTTAACAAAATTTAATTGGTTAATGAATATTTTACTTTAAATAACTAAAGTTAATAAATATTAAATTCATTTTATTAATTCTGTAATGTAATGAGAATAATTCTATAAAAATATTATCAAGAAAATTTATTTCGAATATTTCAGAATCGAACTAATTGTAAGACAAATTTTCAAACTTTTATTTAAGTAGGACAAAATTTCTAAAAAAAAAAAAAAAAATTCTTAAAGTTCCATTTTTATAATTTTATCAAGTCTGATTTAAGCAATTCATTCGAATTAAAATTTTGTCATAGTTTTTAGTTTTGATGGTCAAAAAAATTTCAAGCAATATTTAATCAAATTTTACAGATTTTTAAATAAAAAATTGTTTTTAAATAATAATTTTGGAAAAGTTAAAGTTGAAATTTCTAGAAATAATTGAATTTTTGGAGAGTTGTAAATGAATTTATTAAATTTCAAAAAATTTTAGATGGAAAATTTTAAAAGCTTTCAAATTGAAATTTTTGAAAATAATTGAATTTCAATTGATAATGAATTGAAATTTTGGAAAACAATTGAATTTTAGTTGATTTTGAATTGAAATTTTTGAATACAATAGAATTTTAATTAAAATTTTGGAAAATAATTGAATTTTAGTTGACATTTTTTTAAAAAAATGGAATTTTAGTTTATTTTAAATTGAAAATATTGAAAATAATTTAATTTTAATTGAAATTTGGAAAATAATTGAATTTTAGTTGATTTTAAATTTAAAATTTCGAAAATAATTGAATTTCTATTGAAATTTTTATAAATAATTAAAGAATTTATTACAAAATTGCAGACAAAAATACAATAATTTGAAAACATTTGAAGTGAAAAATGGTTTCAGATATAGTTGAATTTTTGAAGAATATTATAAAAAAAATTAAAAATAATTGCATTTCAGGAGAGTTATAATTGAAATTATTAAATTTCAAAAAATTTTAGATTGAAAATTTTAGAAATAATTAAATTTTAGAAGCTTTTAAAAGGAAATTTTTGAAAATAATTGAATTTCAAAATATTGTGTTTAATTTTAGACAATAATTATAATAAGAGAAATTTTTAATCATTTCTGTTGATGAAGAATTTATTAGAAATCACATAAAAAAATTGAATTCCAAAAGTTTTTAATTGAATAATGTTTTCAGACAATTGAATTTTCGAAGAATATTATAAAAATCATTAAAAATAATTGAAATTTTTGGAAATAATTAAATTTCAAGTGAATTTGAATTAAACTATTTTGGTAATTTTATTTGCTAATTTTTTTTTAAATTATATAAACAATTATTAAATTTCATAAAAATTTTAATTGAAAAATAGTTTAAAATAATTGAATTTGTGAAGAACTTAATTAAAATTATTAAAAATAATTAATTTAGTGAAGAATTTTAGTTAAATTTTTTTTAAATATTTGAAATAAAGAAGATCTGAAGAAAATCTTCATTGTATACTAAAAAAACGTATTTTGTTAAAAAAAATTTTTTAATAATGTAAAAAAAAAGTCGAAAAAGTCGTATTTTATTAAAAAAAAACTCAAAAACAGTCGAAAAAAGTCGAAAATATCGTATAATCCGAGGCCTGTTTTAAGAACCAAATTTTTTCTAAAAAAAAAATTTAATTTAATTTTAATTTTAAACAAATTTTTTTGGGAAACTAATTACAGTTTTTCTGTCTGAAAACAAGAATTTGAAATTGAAAATTTATTCGATTAAAATGAAAAACATTGTTTCAATATTTAGTTTTGAAAGTTAAATAATTTATGCATGAGTTAAAATTTTCATGTTACTTGAAAGCAACACTGATCCTCAAAGAGTTATTAAAAGTTAACAAAATAAACATAAATTTTAATAAAACAATTTAATAAAACTAAAATTGAAAATAATTTTTGAAAATTTTGTGAAAAATTTACACTTTTTTTTAAATCATTTTTTGATTAATAAAAATTGTAAGAAATATGTTTGAGACGAAAATTCATAGAATTTTTCATTCACAAAAAATTTTTCTTTAATATTCGTTGATCATAAATGTTGTGAACTTTAACATTGTATTTTAAACTTAAATTAAATTAATTTAACTTTTTAAAATTTAATTTAATTCAAAAATTTTAAATTTTAAATTAATTAATTAATTTAACACACTTAAATTAAAATTTTTTGATAAATTATGGTAGATTTTTGACGTCAAAAATTTTTTCCAATACAAATAACTTAAAATTCGATTTGTATAATACGTCACTCAAATCTTTCAATAAAATATTAACAGACTATGTAATGTCAATAAGATAAAATATGTCAAGCAAGGACGTAAATAATTTTCTTTTTATTTTGTCAATAATGAGATTCAGTTTCCTTAGTTTTATTTTATTATTTTGCAAATAAAATAAATGAATATTTTTTCAAAGTTTTCAATATTTTATCAAATTTCTTTACTAGTTTTTGTCATTTTCGTACATTGAAAAAAAAATGATTTTTATTTGGAAAAAAAAATATTTAAATTTTTTTCATGATAAGAAACAATATTTAAAAATCGATTTTTTCAATTTTCGAGGTCAAAATCACAATACCATTTTTTATTTTTTTTTCTCTTAACCTCATTTGATAAAAGTTTCTTAAAAAAAGAAGTTACTAAATAAGTACGAATACAATTTAATTGTCAAAATAATTATATTTACAAAATAATTTAGTTTAAAAATTAATTTTAAATTGAATTTAAAAATAAATTATGTCTAAAATAATAGTTAATATTAAAACATAATTAAATTGACAAATAATGTAATTTATCAAAAAATATAAATTTTTATTATTATTATTTATTAACAATTTATTAACATTTAAAAATAAAATTGTTTTTATTGCTCTAAGAAATTTTTTCAGGAGGAAATTTCTTCATATCTATAAAATTAAAATTCTGTAAAATTAAAATTTTTCATAAGAAATTTTTCTTTCTCCAAAAAAAAATTTATTTCGTGAAATTATAATCCTATAAATATTAAATAATAAAGAAGCAAATGAATGCAATTTTTAATCTTAAATTGATTGGTGGACATTTTTTCCAATCCATGTTTCCCAATGGACATATTTTCCAATAATGGGTCACTTTTCCCACAAGAAAATATTAGTAATATAAAATATAACTATTTTTATTATTATAAATAATTAATTATTATCATCAAATATTTATCAAATGTAGTAATCGATTAATATATTTAACTTGAAACTTTTATTTTTAGGAATCACTTCTAAATTTGTTTCAGTCATATTAAAGATGATATTTTTAACTTAAAAAATTTTATACAAAAATGTTCCGAAACTAGTCGGAATGTTTATGAATAAGAATAATAATTTATTTATTTATTATACAACAATAAAGTCAGTTTGTTTTTACAAAAACGATTGCAATTATTCATTTCAAAAAATATTTATTGGGAAATGTGGATTGGAAAAAGTTTCTCCCCATATCTTATAAATTATGTTCTAATTCGTTTTTTAAATTAAAAAACTATGTAAAAGAAAAAAATAAATTTGTTAATTTCAAGTTTTCTTATTTCTGAATTTTGTTCAGTAACAGGCATCGAAAGCTGCAACCGTTCAGAGAAACGTGACTGTCAACATTGGGTAGAGCGGTGTTCCAAATCGCAAGAAAAGAAAAGCAACCTGACGCGACACGTTTCGAGCTACCATTTGGTAGCCATTTCGCAGCAAGGTCACAGATCGGTATTCAAACTGTCGCTGGGAATCGTGGCAAGGAGATCTAGGAGACCGAGGACGAAGACGTTGCCCACTTGAGAGTAAGAGAGAGAGAGAGAATAAATAAAAAACAAAAAAAAAAACTAAAACGAAGATCAAAAAGGGAAAAACAAGGCAATTTCTTCTTCGCAAAAATTTGACTCCTAGCTGAAAAAAAATTTTTTTTTTTTTTGTTTGTTTTTAATATAAAAAAGTTTAAAACACTCGACAACGGCTTTTCGTCAAAAAAAAAAATATCATTCAATAAATTGACGAGTTTGTGGGGTTTTTAAGAGGCGGAAAATAATAGTAATAATAATAATAATAAGAACAAGAAACAAACAATCAAGATGGGTAGCCTCAATGTTAATCGCAATGTTAGCGATGCTTTCTATCGCTATAAAATGCCCAGAATTCAAGCCAAAGTCGAGGGCAAAGGAAATGGCATAAAAACTGTCATTGTTAATATGGTTGAAGTGGCGAAAGCCATTGGTAGACCGGCCACTTATCCGACCAAATACTTTGGATGTGAACTCGGTGCACAAACTCAGTTTGACTTTAAGAATGAGAGATTTATCGTTAATGGTTCGCATGATGCGACCAAATTGCAAGATCTACTCGATGGTTTTATTCGAAAATATGTCCTATGTCCATCTTGTGACAATCCTGAGACTGAACTTTTGGTTAGCGCAAAGAAAGGCACCATCTCACAGGGCTGTAAAGCATGCGGTCATCATGGATTACTCGAGACAAATCACAAGCTCAACACTTATATTCTGAAAAATCCTCCTAGTTTGAATCCTGCAGCTCAAGGCAGTTCACTCACTGAGGGTAAACGTGGTACGTACAAAATTAATAATTTCAATTTTACTTTTTTATTTATCGAGACGCCTAAACATAGGATCGCTACGCTTTCTTTATGAAATTTTTATTTGTCTTAATTCATTTTGAGCCAAATTTTTATTTGTCCGAATTAGTATTTTGCAATATTTTCATTAAAAACGATTTTCTATATTAGAGAATTTTTATATAACCGAAAATTCACCGAGAATTTTTATTTGCTCGAATTTTTTATTTAACATAATAGGCATTTTAAAGAATTTTTATTGGCTAGAATTTCATTGCATAGAATTTTCTTTCAAATGAATTTTCATTTGTTCGAATTATTATTTGATATAATTTTCATATAACCGATTTTTCATATTACACAATTTTTATTTAATCGAAAAATCATTTAACAGAATTTTTAATTGATAGAATTTTCATTTGTCCGGAATTGCAAATGTCCGAACAAACAATCGACAGAAAGATTTCGGCGCGATTTTTAAAATCAAGCAATCAAAAATTATCCATAAAATTGTGATTGGTTGATTTTAAAAATCGCGACAAAATTGTTCTGTCGATTATTTGTTCGGACATTTGCAAAATTCGGACAAATGAAAATTCTATCAATTAGAACAAATAAAAATTCGGCTCAAAAATAATTATGACAAATGAAATTCCATAAAATTAAAATTCTAACTAATGATTTTTAAAACATAATCATGCGTCCTAAAAAAAATGAACAATATTTAAACTACTATTTAAGTAACATGATATTTATTAATATTAAATCACAATTTTATTATTTAGATTAATAATAATTTGACATCATTTTTTTTTAAACGCCGAATTTTTAATTTACAGAACTTTCATTTTGTCCGAATAATTATCTGATAAAAACAAGTAGATCCGAATTTTAAAATGAACTAATAATCAAAAGTTTACAACGAAATTAGGATTGGTCAACTTTTAAATTTGAGGCCAAATTTTTCAGAAACATACTTATTTGGAGAAATGAAAATTCTGTAATATAAAAATTCGGCTTTTTTAGAATACTGTCAAATGTAAATTTGAACTATAATGAAAATTCGACTACAAAAGATTTCTTTCAAATGACTATTCTTTTTTATTGAAAATTAGAGCATATAATAAAAAATTCTAGCAATGAAATTATGTCATTCATAGAAAAAGTGTGGAATTTTAAAAACTTTCTGGAAATCATGGAAAAGGCCTGGAATTTTTTTAAATTTCTTTAAATTTTTCAGGTTTAAACAAATTTTTTAAAATAAAAAAATAAAAAAATTCTCTGAAAATAAAGATAATTTTCTGAAAACTGTCGAAATCTGAAAAAATAATGTCTAAACGAAGAAGTTATGTTAATTTTCTATTAGTTAGGTATTTTTAATGAAATTTTCTTTACAATTTGAATAATTTACAAATATTAAGGAAAGGGATAAGTGAATTTTTAACTCATCCTCATTAAAGTTGTAAGTAAAGGGTCAATTTTTTTCTAGGGTTATTTAGCAATTTTTCAAATTCAAACTTGAATTTATCAAATTTTCAAAAATTAACAATTTTGGTAATAGATACATTGAATTTTCAATTCTACCAAATTTGGAATATAAAATTTTTAAACGATATTCAAGTCAAGGGTTTAATTTAAAAAAAAGCATAAATATTTAATTAACAAAAACCAAAATATTAAATAGATTTAAATTTTAATTATTATTGTGTAACAAAATTTATATAATTTTTTTTTGTTACAATTTTCATGTTATCTAATTTTTTCCCATCCGCAAATAATTGTCATAATTTAATTTTTTTCAAAATTTTATTACCACTTGTCATAATATATATATTTTTTTCTCTTCATTATATCTTTTGACTTTAATGTTCGTTTCACAATACATATAATTTGAAATTTGTCTTATTAGAGATAATGAAAACTAAAAAATCAAATAATAATAGCTATTAAAAAATAAGTTTTTAAATTACAAAAAAAAAAATGATAATAATAATAATAATTGAAAAAGAAATAACAAAAATGATTTAAATTTTAAATAAAAAATTACATTTGAAATAATTTGATAGAATTTAAATTTAATGTCAGTAAGTAATTGAAAAAATGTATTTTAAATTATGACTAAAATTTGAGAAACTTAAAAAGAGACACAAAACTAGAGACTATGAAAATACAAGAACATAAAAAAATATAAACTATAAAAAAAAAAAAACTTCTGCCATTCAACCGATGATCAATACTGATATAATTATTTTTATATGTAAATTGTGAGAAACAAGCAATTAGGTCAAATGGGAATTCAGTAAAATAAGAATTATTTAAAATGATTATAGTTAATTGGAATTTAATTAAAAAACGTAGTTTTATGAGAATTTGAAAAAAATATATCTATTTTTTAATTTAATTTTTAATATTTATTTTTAATAGAATATTAAAATAAAAAATATTTATTTTTTTAATTAAATTTTTAATGTCTATTTTTAATAGAATATTAAAATAAAAAAAATCTATTTTTTTAATATCTATTTTTAATAGAATATTAAAATGTAAAATATCTATAATATATATATTGTGAATAATTCAATGAAAATTAAATTTAATAAAAATTTTTTCTTGTTTTTTTTATTGGAGATATTAATTTTGAATGCGAATTGTCGTTTACAAAAGATTTGATATAACTTTGTAATGAATGAAGATTGTGAGTACTACGATACGGTTATTTAGAGTTAATTAAACAAAGAATACATTTATAAATGAAATTTTATTATTTTGTTAATTGTAAATAAAAGTAATAATTTTATAAATGTTGTCCCTAACTTTTAACTTTTTTCGACCGTAATCACATATTTATGATTTTTTCTTTTCCACAATAGAGAATAGGCCTTTTCTTGAAAAAAAAAAAAAATCAACCGTTTCATCCTGTCCCGTGCTTGATTATTTTATATTTTCGTTCAAATTATTAAAAAAAACATATATAAACTAGTAGATACATAAGAAATTAATAATTAAATAATAAAAGAATCAATAATTAAAATTTAAAATTTAAATATAGTTTCAATATAGTGCTCCTAATATTTTTTTTGTTTTCATTGAAAATTAAAAGTTCCAGAAATATTAAAATAATTCTTGATGAGAATAAAATTTAATAAAAATTCCAAAATAATAATAATAATAATAATAATAATAATAATGTCTATAAACATCTGAGAAAATGTTAATTAAATAAAATAATAAAACTTATAGTGGAAATAATATTAATAAATTGTTTAATTATTTAATATATATAAAAAAAAAAATTACAGGCAAACGTTCCAAGAAAAATGGTGACGTAAATGGCGATCGTCCTCCATCACCTGAAAATGAAACAAATACAACGGACATTGTTGTGGAGGCACCAGTGAAAATGGCAAGCGAAGATGACGATTATTCAAATTGGGCGGTGGATGTTTCCGAGGAGGCAGTACGTGCACGTTTACAAGATTTAACCGATGGCGCAAAAGGTATGACCATAAGTGATGATCTCGAAAAGACTGAAAAGGAACGTATGGATATATTTTATAAATTGGTGAAATGTCGTCGTGACGCTGGTCAATTGGATAATCCAAAGGAACTTGTGTCTGAGGCTGAACGTCTTGAAATAAAGACAAAAGCACCATTGGTACTTGCAGAATTACTTTTCGATCAGGGTATTGCTGCTCAAATAAAAAAACATCGCTTATTATTGCTTCGCTTTACACATGGCGATACAAAGGCACAAAAATATCTTCTTAGAGGAATCGAACAGATTATTGCTTTACATAAGGATGTATTGATGCCGAAGGTGCCTGGAATTTTTAAAGTAAGTCACAAATTATTTTATTTTTATTTTATATTAAGAAAATTCTACTTATTTATTTATTAATTATTTTTGAAGATAATTTTTATTAATTTGAATAAGAAATAATTGAACTGACAAACGTTTATGATAGACGATTGAAACTAGAAAAATATTTTTATTATAATACACTTTTTACTGAAAAAAATAGTTAACAAAATGCAATTTTTCTATATTGATAAAAAAAAATTCTCTAGTATTTTCTTTTGAATATGGTAAATAGTTTTCTTTCTTTTTTCAGCTGTTTTATGATTCTGATATCTTGGAGGAAAAAGCTTTCTTGGAGTGGGAGAGTAAAGTCAGCAAGAAGAATGTTTCAAAGGACTTGTCACAGGAAATTCATGATAAGGCTGCGCCGTTTATCACTTGGTTGAAAGAAGCTGAGGAAGAAGAATCCGAGTCAGATGAAGAAGACGATGATCTAGAGGTAATATTTCCGATATTCTAATCTATTTTTGTTCGTATTTTATTTTATTATTCAAAAGTAAAAGTGTATTATTTATTTTTGCCACCTTGTAAAATTTTGTATTTCTATTTTATTTCTTTTTTTCAGATTGAGTACGACGATAGAGCAAAACAGCCTCTGAAACAGCAACAACAGCAAACTGTAAAGCCGCCCGTTCAAAATGACTCCGACGGGGGAGAAGATTTAGACATCGATAACATTTAAAAGAAAAAAAAAAAAAAGGAAATTTATCTATAATCAGCAACACAAAAAACCAGATCACTATTATGACGACCATGATCATTTTTAATAGGATAAAAAGGAATCACAATAAGCTGACAGTTAATGTAGATTTTTCTTATATTAAATCGTAAACCGATAATCGTTTGAAACGCCATCGGTCTTACACGCAATACATACATATTCAAAACAAAAGGAAAAAAAAAAAATTTTTAAACTATATCCAATTTTAGCAAGCCTCTTGTACGGTGATATTTTTAATTACATTTTTATCTTTATTTTTTTTGTGAATTCTTGATTCTTTTTTTTTTATAATGAATTAATTATTTTCAAATGATTAATAAATGTTTCTTTTTCCCTTATTCTTCTTCTCCTCCCCCGTGTCCACTATTCCCAGTTTCTTTAATCTAGGCAAAATATCCCTTTTCTTCAAAATATTGTTATAGTATTTTTTTTCTTTTTCTTTTGAAAAGGTGGCCTGCTAAAAGCGTTCTCTATTGTATCTATTTACTATTCTAATGATAATTCAATAAAATATGGTTTATCACATTATATATCGTTGTTTTTTAAAAAAAAAAGTTTATAGTAGTTTTTCTGTATTTTTTTGAAAATTGATATTAATTAGAAAATAAAAATTTATTTTTGTGATTTTTTATTACAAGCTTTTTTAATGATTTTTTAGAGTCTGTGTTATGGATTTTAAAGAATTTTAATTTTAAAAAAGGAGATAAAAATAAATGAGTTGAAATTTCATTAATCTTTCCTCTTAAGGGGAGGCATGGCTGAAATTTGAACCTTTCGAAATTAAGGCTATTTAAGGTTGTCATTTTTTTTTTTTTTTTTTTAATATTGAATATTTAAAACTAATATATACTATGGAAAATTGAAAAAAAAATTAATTCATTAATAATTTTTAAATAAAACTCGAAATTTTAAAAAACTAAAAATTTAAACTTCTATCGCAATTTTTATTATTTTTCATTGCAGATTTTTTTTATACACTTTTCCCATGATCCTGAACAATCAATCGTATGGTTTTTTTTTTAATTTTAATATTTTCAAAAAATAAAATTTCTAAAATGCGGTCAAAAAAATTATTTTTTGTTTAATTTTGATAATTCACAATAATTTTAGATTCCAAATAATGACAGAAAAAAAATTGACATTAACAACATTAATTTCGATGAGTTAAAATTTCACCGGTCCCTCCCCTTAATTTTAAAAAAGGAAAGAAAAATAAATAAAGATGGTGCCTCTGTTTAAAATTTTTTGATATGGCACATTCACATGTAAAAATTTCAATTCAAAAAAAAATATAAATTTAAAAAAAATTATTGTTTGTTGAAAGTTAAATTTTACTTCTTAAAAATTATATATCTAATTATATAGTAACTACCTTAAAAATTTATGGATTTTAATTTTTAACTATAAGTGTTTTTTGAAGTATTTTCCATATAATTTAAAAATTAAAATTTTAAATTTTCTTTCTAAAACTAATTAGTGAAAATAAAAAATATTGTAATTTATTTATTATTTACATTATTTTAATGATTAGTAAGAGAAAATAAAAATTGTTTATTGTAATTTAAATATGATTTCTTTATAATTATTTTTATTAATATTATGATTTATTTTTAATTCTTTAAATCCTTAAAAGTTATATTAGATCACTTTCTTATATGAGAAAAGATTGTTAAATTGTAGGTTATTTTGCCTAAATCAGATCATTTCCCATATTTATCAAGAAATTGCAATTTTTTTAATTAAAAACTTTAAATAATTCAAAATATTAATTAAATTCTTTAATCACAAGTTTTGCGCACCTCAAATTCGTCCGCTTTTTCAAATAATTGAAATCGAATTCTCGTTAATATCGAAATCTTGAATATTCGATATCTCGAAGTCTCTTCGAGTTTTATTTCTGTAATGGTGTGTGTGTGAACGGCTGATCGCCGTTTTTCTCTGTCGTGTTTCGTACAATTTTCTCTGTTTTAAACAAATATTTTTAATTTTATAAACATTATTTAATGATAAGTCCAAGTGAAATAAAGAAAGGTAAATAAAACTAATATTATTTTGTTAAATGAAAAAATAAGAAAATATGTGATTGTTGTCGTTCCTCGAGTATATGTTCACGCATATAATCTCGCCATTTTATTCTGTCAGCAATCATTGTTCATATAAAGGATTTTCACTAAAAAAAAAAAATTTATTAAAAAAAATCCTCCTAGCTCAATAAATATTTTCATATTAACAATTTGTTTTTTGTAATTAAAATATTTATTAGCAAAATTGTACAATTTTTCCAATAGAAAATATTGAAAGGGTGTGAAAGTTATCTGTCAAAAAAAAAAAAAAAAAAAAATTGGGTTTATAATATTGTTTTAAAAATGCATTCTTAAATATTAAATTCTTGTGCTTTCTAGTTAGAACGTCTATAGTGAATGTTACATTATTTTACAGTAATGCTGCTTTGAAAGTGTTTGTCGGGAGTCCTGCATGGACCGATCTTTAGAGTGAGTCATCATTCGTTCTATATCTATATATATATATATATATTAAAATATTGATCCTCCAGAAATTTTCATGATCCACATGAAAAAAAAATATTATTGTTAATTAAATTTCAATTACCACACCTTTGAATCAATTGAAACCGGATGTTAAATATTTTAATTTCTTTTCCTGAGTCGTTGTGATACCGTGACGAAAAACCAGTGACCATGACCATTCCTGCTTCAATATTTTTCTTGAGACTTGTATTTTAGTTTCACTATATTTTTTTTTTTATTAATTGTATCGGAAAAATCAAATTTTATTCGGTAAATTTTGCGAAATTTTAATTTTTTCATTTTATTTTTATGTGCTTTCTAAAAAAAAGAAAATGATATTGACTTTTATTTTACAATATTAAAATTTGTTTAATGTCAATTGTGTTTATTATTGAATACGCGTGCGCCTATTTCCGATATAATGCAAAGTTAGGTAATATCCTTTGTGTATTGTATTTACTTGATTTATTGTTTGCAATTTGTCAGTTCAACTGATTAGCATTGAATTTTTTATTCGTCAATTTTTCAATCGAAATATTGGTTCAATGATTTAATGGAAGGTAAAACTTTTTGAAAAATAGAAAAATTGATTTTTGAGTTTTTTTTATTTATTTTTTATTTTTGAGTTTTTTTTTAAATATTAGTATGGAATTATGAATTACGTAAATTTTATGATCGTAAAACAATGTTGACGCATTTTTTTTTTTTAAGACTTGAAGTATATTTTCAGAAATGATTACATATATATCTTCTCAGGAAACTACATTTTATTTATTATCGCGAATTTTAAATTATTTTATTTTAACAATGTACAAGCTAATTATTATTTAATACAATAATTATTAAAAAAAAAAAGCAAAATAGTTTTAGGAAAATCTCTACTTTAAAAATTGTCCACTATAGAAAAAAAAGGTTCTGAAATTTTGTTTTCAAAATTTGGGGTTTTTTTTTTTTTAAACACGAGAAAAAATTTTTTTTTAAAAAAAAAGTTTAGATTTTTTATCTTACACATTAATTTCACTTCAATATAATATATATTTATATATATATATATATATAGGAAAGTTGGTAATTAGTATGTAACATATTTTTTTGTCTAACCATAATATGCTCGCTAATTTTTACGCTTTCGCTCGAATCATTATCTCTGTTTTTTTCCCCATATAGATTAGAACATTAATTTTCCAATCTTCAGGGTATTTTTTTAAATTATAAAATAGAAAATTCCAATTTTCGAAATTATAGAGAAATAAAAACGTCGATGAAGTTCACAATAAATTGAAAAAAAAAATTATTCACTCAAAAAATACTAATTAATTTTTTGCGTACAAATTTTATTTAAAAAAATTATTAATCAAGAAAACAATGCCAAAAATGTTTTAGATCAAAAATAATATGAATTTGCATAGAAAAATATTTTTTCTTAATCATTGATCATAAACGTTGTGAACTTCACCGACGTAAAAAAATTAGAAAAAAAAAAGAAATTTGCAACTAGAAATACTTATATATATTAAGATCAAAAGAATTTCTAATTTCAAATTCTCATTCAGGGAATAAAAATGATCGAATCACTTTTGACTCCAGTGGCCTACTTTTTTGCGGAGTCTTTTCAATTTTCAGCTTTTCAGATATGAGAAAAGGGTTTTTTTTTTTTTCTTCAAAATAAAAAAAAAAGGGGAAAAAAAATAAAAAGAACACACAAGAGTATAAACGTGCTTTTATGAGAAATTGCGCAGGCGCAACTATTTTCAACCCTCTCTATATATATATATATATTGCAGGGTAAGAAGCCAAACACATTCGCATCAGTTCAGTATAAAACGTGATATTGCAAGGAAACCTCCCCTCCCCCCCCTTCTCTCGTTATAGATCAGATTACGCGAAATATATATATATATTTTTATACATATAAATAAATTCTTCTTTTTTAACAATTTCCATTTGTCGACTGAGTGAAAGTGACAATATTCGGATAAATCAAGTTCTGATGATGAAGTGAGAAAATCTAGTGATAACTGGAGACATTGTATAGTGGCAAAAAAAAAAGGGTTGAACTTCTTTTTTTACGAAAAAAAATAAATTAGGTAGGTTTGGCAGTACTCAACATTATCGATGGGTAGAACAGAAATGTCAAAAACGCTGAACGCTTATAGAATGTGAGTAGAAAATAAAAAAAAAACCCCTTTCCTCATCCTCAGACAAAAAAATAAAATATTATTGATTACTTCAAGATACTTGTAAGAGATAAAAATTCATTTTTATAAATTTTTTTTAGAATTAAAATTTAAAAATAATTAATATAAATTTAAATAAAATAATATTTAAAAATAAAAATTGAAAACATTTTTTATGAAAAAATGAGATATTAATGTAGAATTGAGAAAAGTTGATGTTGAAATAATAAACTCATGAAAGGTTTGAAATGGTTTTTTTATATTTACTAGAATCGTATCGAGACTTGTGGTTTCTGAAGTGAAAGTGCATTGGTCTTCTAATCAACTCGTTGCCTCTTGAACAAAGGAGATGCACCTTTGTTTACATTGCCACTCAGGCTTTTATTCCGATAATAATATAATTTTCTATAAATTTTTATATATATTTTTTTTTTATTTTTATCGAAATTATATATTGAATGTTATTTTATTTCAATATTAATTTTATCGAAGTTCCATCGTGAAACACACGTGTGATATCAATTACATGGTTATAATAACGGGTTTTTGATTTTTTTCTTCATCATCCCTTCCCATTGGTTGATAATTTCCTCATTCCACATATATTGAAAGCAGTTCATTGCCGTAACAGTTGGTTAGGTTTTCTTTTTCTCTCTTTTCTTTTTTTTTGATAATAGAGAATTTATGAAAATTTATTTCTTATCTCTATTTTTTTTATCTATTAATATATTTTGTAGTAGTGTACTTTTTAGTACTTTTACTACTTTTAGTAATATTTTTTTCTAATTAAAAAAGAATTTTTTATGATTTCCTTTTTTACATTTGATATTTTTCAATATTTTATTTTTAATGATCTATTCAATTTTTTTTAGTTCTTCACTGAGAATTTGTTTAGTTTTCAAATTTTTTCTATTTGTAATATTTTTCAATTTCTTTTATTTATTTATTTACAAATAAATTTTATTTTTAATTTCTTTCATATTTGTTTAGTTTTTAATTTGGATTTTTTTAAATTAATATTCTCCTCTTAATATTTATTGAGATTTTCTTTTCTTTTTTTTTAGAATTTTTACAATTTTTCTTTCATTATAGAGAAAATACTTCAATTGAAATTAATTTTTATATTTATTTTAAAATTTCTTTGCTTTTTCACTTGAAATTTATTTCGTTTTCGATTTTTTCTGATTTTCTGTTTGTAATTTTTTTTTGGTTTTTCATTTTAATTATTATTTTCGTATTTCTTTAAATTTTGTTTTTGAATTTTTTTTCAGTTTTTTTTTCTTTTTTTTTTGAAACTGTAAATTTAGCTTTTTAAGATTTTCTTTTTTTTACAATTTTTACATTTTTTCTTTATAGAAAAAATATTTAATTTGAAATTAATTTTTAGATTTATTTTGAAATTTCTTTGGTTATTTGCTTGAAATTTATTTCGTTTTCGATTTTTTCTGATTTTTTGTTCGTAATTTTTTTGGTTTTTTTTTTTTTGTTTTATTTTAATTGTTTTTTTTTTCGTATCGTGATTGTATTATTTTAAATTTTCCACAATTTTAATTTATTTTATATGAAACTGAAGTACGCAACGTTTGTGATAAACGATTTTTAATGAAGTAATTTTTTTCCTAAAAAATATTTTTTAAGCAAAAAATTTCTTTCTCAATTTATTTCTTTAAAAATCGTTTATTATAAATGTTGCGTACTTCAGCTTCGTTATTTTTTATTCCTTTATCAAAGTTTTTCTCTCCTTTAATTTTTGTAATTATTTTCAATTTTTCTTTTATTTAAAATTTCTTTAAATTTTGTTTTCGAATTTTTTTTTCTCAGTTTTTCTTTTAGAATCTATTTTATTTTCCTTTTTGAATCTATTTTTGTTTTTTTTATTTATTTTTAATAAAAATATTTTGAAATAATATTATTTAGTTTCCTTCTTAAAATTACTTTCAGTTTTACACTTTGAATTTAGATATTTAGTTTTTCTTTTTATTTTCAATTTTTTAATTCAATTTAATCTAAAATTTAATTTAAATTTAACGTTTAATTTAATTTACCGAAAATTTAATTTCAATTTCTGTTTAAAATTAAATTTTTTCTTTGGGTTCTACATATTTAAAATTTTTTAAAGAACATAATTTAGTTTCAATATTAAATTTCTTTTTTCTTTTCTATTTTTTTTTTAAGTGTAAAATGAAAAAAAAATAGCTCGAAATTTATTCATAAAAGAAAGTTATTTTCGTATAAAGATTGTTTGGAATTTAAGAGAATGACTTTTTTTCGAATCTCGTTAAACAGAAATAAATCAAGAAACTAAATATAGTTCGATTAAAGTGTAAATGATTAAGCAGACAATGTGATTTAATAATATAGAGAAAAATCGTTTTTTTATTTAACGACAGACAGTTTCGTACAACTACTACTACTATTACTACATACTATACTACTGGCATTTCGTATCGATTCATTTTGGCTCGAAGGTTTCCTCTTCTTGCATTTTCACGTGCTTCTCATGCCTGTAGTGTTTGTCTGTCGCAGCATTTGCTATTGCAAGCTCGGTGCGCTTGCGTTCAATTATTGAACCATTGATTTTTCGTATAGTTTCACGCGGCCCTGAAATGGGGTAAGTTTACATTTCAATTTTCTATCGATATATATATATATAATTGAATTTTTCCATTGACTCGAAACACAAATCTCGAATGTCTATATGTGTGTGTTATTAGCAAAAATATTGAAAAATGAAATAAAAAAAGAAAGAAAAAATATTTGCCTCCGCAAGTAAAATGATAGTTCTTGAGTTATTCACACTTTATAAAATGTTTGATTACTTTTTAAGATATAAGATATTTAGTCTCTCTTTTTTTTTTCTTTTATGTAGAATTTTTTTCAAGGTATAATTCTAAATGGAATCATGGTCAAATTTCCATTTAAAGAGATGTACTTTAGCAATTTTGTCGTTTAATGAAATGAGTCATTTGCTTAGTTTTGATTGACTTTTGAAATAGAGAAGAAAAGTGGAATTTGTTGAGAAAAAAGGAGATTTTAATTTCTTGTAAAAAATAAAATACAATTTTTTTTTGTGTGTGTTTTGGATATTATTATATTTTGTTTCTTTTTTTTAGAAAAAAAATAGAACATATTGGCAGAATGACGGCCATGACGCAGGAGGAAATTGTGGCGGGTGCTCGCACCGTTGCTCAAGGATTGGAGACATTGCGAGTGGAACACAGTGGTCTTCTTCAGAGTTTACAATCGCAGGAAGCGCCGGCAGCACGTGACAAAACAACTTTATTATCGAAAAACATTGAAATGATAGAATTGGGCCTTGGTGAGGCTCAAGTGATGATGGCACTGGCAAGTCATTTACAAATGGTCGAGGCTGAAAAACAAAAACTCCGAACACAAGTAAAGAGGCTGTGTCAGGAAAATGCATGGTTAAGGGACGAATTGGCGGGCACACAACAAAAACTCCAAGCCAGTGAACAAGCAGTGAGTTTTAGAATTAAACAGGATTGCAGGCTTTGAAGTGAAACACTTTTTTACTTTTTTGATACTTTTTTTCGACAAGGCTACTTTTTTTTTACTACTAATTTTGGCCAAAAGCCACTAAATGCTACTTTTTTCAAAAAAATAATTTTAAAAATATGACAAAATTCAAGAATTTTAAATTTTAGCAAATTTTTTGATTCCTAAAAGCTTGCCAAATTGATGATTTATTATTGGCCTGAACTACTGTTTTATATAATTATTTTTTACACGAATTTTCATTTTTTAAAATAGCATTTAACATAATTACTTTTTTAACGACCTTTTACTCAATAGAATTTTTAATTTGTCAAATTTTTTTTAACACAATTTTTATTTTACAAAATTACCAGTGTGTCCAGCGGTCAGGGAAGTCATGGAAAAGTCTAGGAATTTAATTAAAAGTCAGGGAACATTTTCAAAAATTTGCTAAAAATGAACATTTTTATGAATTTTTTAAATTTTTCGGTGCAAGAAAAAGTTTATAATGCTAATAAATAAAATATTTTTTATTATATCTTAAAAATACTTTAATATTTGATACTTTTAATTTTTTTAATATTAAATATTTATTAAAAAGCAAAATTGTAAAAAGATTAGAAAAAAGTCAGGGAATTTTTTTTTTTTTTTGTACTTCTTGCTGGACACCCTGAATTCTCTTTACTCAACTATTTTTTTTTAAAATAAATTCTAATTTAACCGAAATTCAGACAATAATTGAATTAAAATTTTTGGAAATTAGAATTGCTGAAAATTATTAACAAAGTTTCAAATAGTATAATTGAATTTTAGAGAATTTTTAATTAAAAAATGTTTTATTTAATTGAAATTTTGAATAATTGGATTGAAATTATTAATTTAGAAAAGAATTTTAGATACAAATTTCAGAAATAATTTGAATTTTGGAAGAGTTCGAGTTAAGATTTTTAGAAGTAATTGAATTTTTGAAGATTTTTAATTAAAAAATGTTTTATTTAATTGAATTTTTAAATAATTGGATAAACTATATTGAAATTATTAATTTAAAGAAGAATTTTAGATACAAATTTTAGAAATAATTGAATTTTGAAAGAGTTTGAGTTAAGTTTTTTTTAGAAATAATTGAATTTTTGGAGATTTTTAATTAAAATTGTTATTTTAAAATACTAAATATTTTATATAAGCTTCCGATTCCAAGTTCTAGGATTTAAATATTCGAATTACTTAAAATTCTACTTTTCTTAGTCTTTTACTACACTTCGAAGCCTGGAGTTGTCACAAGTCAAAGAAATGTCAGGGACCATTTTTTTGTTAGGGAATTTAAAAAAAAAGGTGCTGAAAAAATATTGTAAACCTAGATTTGCTATTATAATACAGGGTGGCCACTAAATCTTGAAAGTCGTGAAAATGACGTGAATTTAATTACACTTTGAATAAACCGTGAATTCTCATTGAATTTTCAATTTAATTTAAAAAAAATTTTTTTTTGAAAATTCGTCTTTTGATTTTTTTTTTTAAATTGAAACTTGTGATGAATTGTTCTAAATTGTTGGTCTACCTCAAAGTAAAATGTTTCTTTGAAAAAATGACAAACTAAGAATTTGTGAAAACAAATTTTCTAATTGATTGATTGAAAAATAAAAATTCTAAAAATTAAAAATTGTACTACTACTAGGAATGCTCTAAAATTTTTCTCCTTGGCATTTTTCTGAAATATTTATATTTATTAAAATAATTAATAATTTCTGCTTTGAAACTATAGGTAGTACAAATTTTTAACCGTCAAAATTTTCAAATTAGAATTTTGATAAAGTAAAAATTTTAAGATAACATAACAGATCTGAGATAACATTTTCTCAAAAATTTTATGATAACATATTTTTTTGATAATTCGAAATCTTCGCCAATATTTGCTTTCGAAATTCCTGGTAAAATTTTAATTTTTTTTCAAAAAATAATTTCCATTTACAATAGATTACAAATAACAATGTTTGTTTTTTTTTTTAATAAAAATAAGAGTATTTCTATTAAAACTTTTTTTTTTTAATTGAATTAAATTTCTTTATAAATTGAAAAATTGTGAAATTTTTTGTTAGGTTGCCCAAATGGAAGAGGAGAAGAAACATCTTGAATTTATGGCAAACATGAGACAATACGATCCAGATCCTCCAGCTGACGATGAAAATGCCAAGGATCGACCAAAAGATGATCCCATTGATCTTTCACTTTTTCCCGATGACGATGCCGAGGAACGAAACAGTAAGTGTATGTTGAATCTTTATTTCTCTCTTCTCTTTGAGTAATTCGTTTACGTTTATTTCGACTGTTTTTCTATTTTTTGAACATTAGCACTTAATTTCAAAAAATATAGAAAATATATCCAAATAAACGTACGCATCTAACTCGAACTCTTTTCATATGTGCTAATGTCTCTTTAATAGAAATAAATTAACAATGCAATACAATTTTTACTTTTTTTCGTATTTGCCAGTATTGTAATATTTTAATAATAATAATTATTGAATAATAAGAGACATTTGTATAGAGACTTCCGTGAATAATGGAGGAAATATTATAATTATTATTTTTTTTTTTTTAAATATTTTTTTACAGCAATGTCTCCAACTCCGCCTTCACAATTTGCACAGCAAGTCAATGCTGGTTATGAGATTCCAGCTCGTTTACGAACTTTGCACAATCTTGTTATACAGTACGCAAGTCAGGGTCGCTATGAAGTGGCAGTACCACTCTGTAAGCAAGCCTTAGAGGATTTAGAGAAAACATCGGGTCACGATCATCCTGATGTGGCAACAATGTTAAATATCCTCGCCTTAGTTTACCGAGATCAAAATAAATATAAGGAAGCGGCAAATCTATTAAATGATGCATTAGCAATTCGTGAAAAGACACTTGGTGAAAATCATCCTGCCGTTGCGGCGACATTAAATAATCTTGCTGTACTTTATGGTAAACGTGGCAAATATAAGGAAGCCGAACCATTGTGTAAACGTGCTTTAGAAATTCGTGAAAAAGTTCTTGGACGTGATCATCCTGATGTTGCAAAACAATTAAATAATCTTGCATTACTTTGTCAAAATCAGGGTAAATACGAGGAGGTTGAACGTTATTATCAACGAGCATTGGATATTTATGAGGCTAAACTTGGTCCTGATGATCCTAATGTTGCTAAAACGAAAAATAATCTTGCATCATGTTATTTGAAACAGGGCAAATATAAGGGTGCCGAAGTTCTCTATAAACAAGTATTAACCAGAGCTCATGAGAGGGAGTTTGGTGCTATTGACGGCGATAATAAACCCATTTGGCAGGTGCGTTGGTTTCACTTTTTTTTTATTTATTTTTTTAGTTTTTAATCATTTTTTTCTCTAAAATTCAATAGTTTAAATTTTATTCCTAGTTAACCGAATTTCTACTGAATTTTATCTATATATATATATAAATATTATCAGGCTTTTTACAACATCTGAAATTCTCAAAATTTCATTTATAATTCATGAAATTATAGAAATTTTATCGAATTTTTGTTTAAATTATTGGAATTTATTTTCATTCAATTTCTTCACTTTATACTACTCGCGTATTTATTGATTATATGAAAGAATTTTTCTTGTTCAATATTTGCATTTAAACAAATTTTTATTTAGTAAATTTTGTAGTTTACTTTTAATCAAATTTATATATTTAATACAATTTTTATTTAACCCAGGCCTCGGATTATACATTTTCGACTTTATTTTCAAAAATATTACTTTTTACTACTTATTTAAGATGCGATTTTTTTTTTTACATTTTTAACAAAATTTTTCAACAAACTACGTCATTTTTAGTACACAATGCAAATCTTTATTTTAATTATTGAACAATTTTTTAACTAAAAATCTTTTTTTTGAATTAATTATTTTTGAATTATTTTCAATAATTTTAATGAAATTTTTCACAAATTCAATTATCTTAAACTTTTTTTCAATTCATTATTTTATGAAATTCAACAATTGTTTAAAAAAAAAAAAATTTAATCGGTAAATAAAATTATCAACAATTTAATTCAAAATCAATTTAAAATCAATTACTTTCAGAAATTTCAACTTAAAACTATTTAACATTTGATTATTGCAAAAAAATTCCATCTAAAACTTTCTGAAATTTAATAATTTCAACTATAACTTTTTTAAAATTCAATTAATTTTAATTATTTTTATTATTATATTCTTTGAAAATTCAATTATCTGAAAACATTTTTCAATTATAAACTTTTAAAGTTTAATTTTTGTCTTTAATTTCTAATAAATTCTTTAACAGCAGAAATCACAGAAAATTTCAATCAAAAATCTGAATTGTAAATTTTCAAAAATTCAATGATTTTTATAAAAGATTATCTAAAATTATTTAATAAATTATTTTCAATTCTGTAAAATTTAATTATTTTCTGAAATTTAATAAAATCTTTTAAAATTCAATTATTTCTAAAAATTTCAACTGTAACTTTTCCAAAATTTAATTACTTTTAATAATTTAAGGTACCTTAGACCAATGTAGACTTTTCAAAAAAATCGAATTTTTTTTTTCTTTAACGAAAAAGGTGCCATACCGTTTCAAAAATAAGAAACTGTAACTATTGTAAAAAAGAAAACATTTTTATAAGCTCAAATTTTAATTTAGCTTGAATTAACTTAAAATTAAAAGTAATGAATTAAATGAAATAAAAATAATTATTTGTAATTATTTGTATTAAAAATTAGTTATTTAAAAAAAAAAAAAAAAAAAATTGGACTATTAGGTAATAGTAATACAGTTGAAAATTTTGTGTTTCTTTTTCAAATAGCCGAATAATTTTTTTTATTGATTTCAATGAAATATTTTTTTATAGGTCGCAGAAGAAAGAGAAGAGAACAAACATAAAAATAAGGAAAATGCTCCATATGGTGAATATGGAGGATGGCATAAAGCAGCAAAAGTTGATTCACCGACAGTAACAACAACACTTAAGAATCTTGGTGCACTTTATAGACGACAAGGCAAATACGAAGCCGCCGACACTCTCGACGATTGTGCTCTTAGATCGCGAAAAGAGGTAAGATCTTATTTTTTTTCATTTAAAAAACAAAATTAAATAAAACATATCATTTAAATACGATTATTATCATTAAATGATATTGACGGTTTTTACATTCTTTACATTTTTCTTCATTATTAATAATAATTAATTATTAATTAAAATTTAAATCTAATATTATATTATAGAAAAAAACAAGACATCATTAAATATTAATTGAATACAATTAAATTGTTTCAATCAATTTGAACAAGATTTTACATAATTTTAAATTTATAATTCTAAATAAAATAAAATTATTTCGCAATTGATTGAATCGAAATATAAAACTTTTCATGAAATTACAAATAAAAGCATTTTTAAATTATTTTTGTTACATGCAGCATGTTCAACAGGTAAGAATTAACGGAGTATAATAATTACAACCCCATATCCAATTAGGGTCAGATTATTATATTTTTAACAAAGTCGTTGTGGACTATTTTTAAAAAAATTGATTTTTTCAGAAATTATTCTTTAGGGTCCACTGACTTTCGTCTAAAAGTGGTTGCGACCATATTTTTAAAAAATCTGGCTTTAATATATGTGAAACTTCATGATTCATGATTCATGATTCATGATTCATGATTCATGATTCATGATTCAATTTTTTTAAAAATACTATTATTAAAAAACTATTAAAAATTAGATGTTGGAACTCACCAAAAACATAAATCACTTTATTCTGCGCACAGGAAATTATAATTTTTTTATTTTTATTTATAATTTTTTTCAAAATTTTTGTTTACTTATAACTTTTTTTGTCGGTGCTCCAAAAAATTTGAAGTTTTGCAAATAGATATTTAATAATATTCTTTATTTTAAAACTTAAAAAAAAATAAACCCGCAAATATTAAACTTTTAAAAGAAGAAACTTAGGTTATTTGTGGAAAATAAGGATTTTGTCCCCATTTACCCCAACTGACTAAATTTTGATTAAAATTATTAAAACTAAATTATTCAAGAAAGAATTTTAGATACAAAATTTAGAAATAATTATATTCTGTATTTAAAATTTTAATATATGTTCAATTTCACGTGAGATTTCCGTCGACCCTTTAAATTCGGGCAAATAAATTTTTTTCTTGTTTTGCAGTGAAAAAAAGGAGATACGTATATTTTTTCTGAAAAATTTTCGAGTTATGAATTTTCAAAATTTCAGTTTTTTCAATGTAGACCTATTTTCAATGGCTGATAACTCAAAAAAAAAAATTCTTTTTTTTTCCATTTTTGCTAAGAGAAAAAACGTTTCAGTTTTTCTTTTACTTTTCAACAAAGTTAACAAAAAATTTTTGTTCAATTTTTTATTAAAAAAATAACAATTTTTTATAAACAAATTAAGTTTTTTTAAATTTGGATATGATTTAAAATTTTTTTTTTTAAACATACCTGAAAATACTAAAAAGATTTTGCAAAAAAATTTATAGTGGGCCAATAAGTTTTATAGATTTAAATAAACATTTAAACACCGCGCGCAGCATTTTTCGCATTTTTGAAAATTAAAAAAAAAAATTATAAAATTGTTAAAAATTATTTTTTTTCATTTTTTTTTTGGAACCTAAAATCATATTTCACTATAAAAAAATGAAAAAAAAAATAATTTTTAACAATTTTATAATTTTTTTTTAATTTTCAAAAATGCGCAAAATGCTGCGCGCGGTGTTTAATTGTTTATTTAAATCTATAAAACTTATTGGCCCACTATAAATTTTTTTGCAAAATCTTCTTATTATTTTCAGGTATGTTTAAAAAAAAATTTTTTTAAATCATATCGAAATTTAAAAAAACTTAATTTGTTTATAAAAAATTGTTATTTTTTTTATAAAAAATTAAACAAAAATTTTTTGTTAACTTTGTTGAAAAGTAAAAGAAAAACTGAAACGTTTTTTCTCTTAGCAAAAATAGAAAAAAAAAGAATTTTTTTTTTGAGTTATCAGCCATTGAAAATAGGTCTACATTGAAAAAACTGAAATTTTGAAAATTCATAACTCGAAAATTTTTCAGAAAAAAATACGTATCTCTTTTTTTCACTACAGAACAAGAAAAAAATATATTTGCCCGAATTTAAAGGATCGACGGAAATCTCACGTGAAATTGCCCATATAGAAATAATAATTGAATTTCAGGAGATTATTAATTGAAACTTTCATTTTAAATTGGTGAAATTTTTTTTAAAAAATTTTAGGCAATAATTGAATTTTAGTGAATTTTTAATTGAAAACTTTTTTAAATAATGTAATTTTCGAAGAATTTGTTTTAAATTATTGAAAATAATTGACTTTGCAAACAATACAAGTTTTTTAATAATTCATTTTAAAAAATAAAAAAAAAAAAAGTCGAAAAAGTCGTGCAATCCGAGGCCTGTTATTAAGAACCTCTTGAAATATTTTCATTAGATTTAGAGAAAAAATGTCAATTTTGACTGGAAATCAGGGAAAAACAAAATAATATTTTTATGTCAACCCTGAATAAATAAATAACATTTTATCAAAACAAAAATTTCTTCGATTAAGGACTTATTTTTTATGTGTAAAAAATTTTTCTTATAATCGTGCTCAATCGATATTAAAACAAGATTTTGAGAAAAACACAATTAAAATTTCAAATTTTGGTATACATAAATATAAAAAATTTATTTTGCTATCTTACTAAGCCTCATCAATTTTTATTGAATTGATTTTGAAACTTAGAGATATTCTTTAAAAATTATTGGTAATTCCTTGAACATTGAATAAAAAGAAAAAAATTTACGATTTTTGTACCATTATAGCCACAGTTGACGGTGAATAAATAATTTTTTGTGGTTGTATATTAAAATATTAATAAGTAATAATAAATAAATTTCTAATAGGAATATTGTGTGATTTTCAGGCCCTGGATTTAGTAAAACAATCAAAAGTTGCACAAATTTTAGGCGAAGAAAAAGGATCTACGAGACGTGGCTCAAGATCTAGTCTGGCGAATAGCGAGCACGAACAACAAGACGAGGTGAGCAATATTTAGAAAAAAAAAAAAATCTCTCTATATATATATATGTAAATATTACACACAAGAAAAAAAAGAGACAAATTCTTTTATTGACAAAAATTTAGTTGCACCGCATGCAAGTAGCACACCATTAGATGTCTACTATCCTTTTCTTCTTTCTTTTTGTTCTTTTTTCGTTATCCGGCCAAATCTGATGATTCTTCGAAACAACACACAATCACAGGGTTCATTGCCGCTGGTTCAAAGGGCGCTGCACGAAGGACAGTCTGGCCATCACGACGCTAGTCCTAACAAACCCGGGTTTAAAAACAAGATTTTTCACGCTTTAGGAATTCACTCCTCTACGTAGAATATTATCCAAAATTTTTATTCACCGAATTTATTATTATTTGCCTGTTGTCGTATTATGTTTTTATCGATTATGGGGTTTTTTTTTTTTTTTTTTTTTTTTTTTTTTTTTTTTTTGAGAGATTTTTGCTTTTAGGATACTTTCAAAAACTTTCTTTTACGTGAAAAAAAAATTTTTTTTTTTGTTTTTTTTTTTACTATCGTTGACACAATAAAAATTTTAGCCGTTAAACGTGCTGAGTATTTCTCGTATTTATCAGTGAAAATTGAGATTTATTGGATTTTACTCTCAAGACTCGAAAAAAATTTTTTAATTGTTGTATTTTAATATTCAAATATTTCTATATTTTCTTTATGTATTTCATTAATGTTGAATGTTGTATTGGATATTATTCTAGCATTTTTAAACAAATATTTAATGTACCGAATTTCCATTATCTGTGATACAGTTTTATATTGAATTTTTATTGAAAAATACGAGAATTTATAATAATTATTATCATAAAGATAGTTTATTATATTATTAATATTTAAAAGCATTTTATTGTATGAATTCTAATTTCATTGCTGTCTTTGGTAATGAAGAATTATAGTGTTAATTTTTATTGAAAAAAGAAAGAACTGAAAGAAAAGCATTTTTTTTTTATTAAAATTTTTTCGGTACTTTAAATTTTAAATTAAAAAAAAAAAAAGAAATTGACAAAAAATGCATTTTTTGAGCCGGAAAAAATGTGTGATTCTTTTAGTGAAGTTAACTTTCTTTAAAAAGATAGATATTAAAGAAAAAGTAGATTTTAGAGGTTTCAACCTCTTAATTATATTTTTTTTAATTAAAAAAAGGAAATTAAAAATCCGCAAATATGGATTTTTAAATAGAAATTTTGTATTATTAAAAATTTTATCTTAATGGGTTTCGTGGAATAAAAATGTATTTTTCAAATTTTATAAATAGATTTTTGAAGAGAATATATTAAAAATTTTCGTATACGAATTATAAATTTAATAATAAATATTAAGATAGAAAATTTTTTTGTTGTTTAAAAATGTTTTTTTTATGTAATTATTTTTTTCGGTCATTTTAAGTTGTCACACACTCGTTTTTCTGTAATTTTTTTTTTTTAACACTGTATAGCAACTGAAAAAATGAAAAATTTTAATTGTCTTACAAATCACGAATTGCATGTTTTTTTTTATTATTGTTTGTTATTAGTAATTTATAGTTTTTATAGAGAAATTCTGTCAAAAGAAAATAATGTTGTTGCGTGCATTTATCAATGAAATTCAGTTCGCTTTAGTTTACTTCGATTGTGTCCTAAGAGCTGATCTTGCTACCTGCGGGGTGTCTCGAATTTTTCTTTTTTTTTTTCGAGTAATTTTTAATTAAAAAGAAAAATAATAATAATAATTCTATTAAATAACAAATAGAACTCGCGTCTCAACTCATTGCGCTTGTATTTTTAACGTACTCATTTATAATATTTCATATAAATTAAGGATAGATATTATAATTATGACGAGATTTTAACAGACTGTGTTTTTGACAACAAAATATTTCGCCTTTGCTTCAATTCGAGGCACCTTGTAATTATACTTGTTTAGATAGTTTAATTTTTATTGATCTATTAATTAATGATAATAATAATAATAATAATAATTTTAATTTTAATTTAGTCTTAGATAGGAGAAATATATATTATATTGTTTATCACTCTAAGAGAACATTGTGAGCGTTATTATAAAACGCCATAACGATGAATATAAAAAAAAAGTAGTGCCTTGATACTTTAATAAAGAAAAATAAATTATTTTCTAAGAAGTGTTTGTTCCTCTAACACCACTCGAATATTTTTGGGGGGGGGGGTAAAAAAGCTAAAACTATAGTTTTTTATCTTCATAAAAATTGATAAGTTAAAAAATTTTTAAACATTTCAAAAATAAAATTTTCATTTTACCTACTTTCGATATAAATAAAAAAAATTGTGAGATGAAAAAAAATCTTTAAAAAAATGTTTCATCTTATCTGTATATAAATTTTTTTTATCCATGAGTCCATTATATTTCATCTAAAATCGTTGGGATCTATTTTTAGAAAAATCTTATAATTCGTGATAATCATTTTTGATATCTGTTTTTTTTTTTTTTTTTACTAAATTATTAATTAATTTTTGAGAATTATTTAATAAAATTTTACATATTTACCTTGAAATTTTAATTTTAATGAGTTGTACAGAAAAATAGGTTAATTTGACAACTTGTAAAAATTTATTTTAAAAAAAAGCACAGAAATAATAATATAGTCAATTACTTCATTGTTGTTCAAAAATATTATAATTTCCAAATTACCACAGTTTAGGGAGTTCAGGTAAAATTAAAAAAAAATGCAATTGGTCAGAGAAGTCAGGAAAAAATATCAAAGAGCTGAATTTAATGAAAAACAAATTCCGACTTTTGGAAAAAAATAGAGAAATTTAGTAAAAAAAATTTCCATGTATGTACCTAATTTAAGGAAAAAAATATTTTTGCAGGTTTCAAAGTGACATTTTTTTGATACTTTTTTTCGACAAGTCTACTTTTTTACTACTAATTTTAGCCAAAAGCTACTAAATGCTACTTTTTTCAAAAAAATAATTTTAAAAATGACAGAATTCAAGAATTTTAAATTTTAGCGAATTTTTTGATTCCTAAAAACTTGCCAAGTTGATGATTTCTTATTGGCCTCAACTAATGCTTGATATAATTATTTTTTACACGAATTTTCATTTTTCAAAATAGCATTTAACATAATTACTTTTTAAACGACATTTTACACAAAAGAATTTTTAATTTGGCAAATTTTTTTTGACACAATTTTTATTTTACAAAATTTCTCTTTTACTCAACTGTTTTTTTTTTAATAATTCTAATTTAACCGAAATTCAGACAATAATTAAATATTAGAGTATTTTGAATTGAAAAAAGTTTTAAATAATTGAAATGCCAAGATCTTGATTAAAGTTATTAGAAATAATTAATTCAGCAAAAACATTGGATTAAATTTTTTGATAATAATTGAATTTTAGGAGATTTTGAATTAAAATTGCTGAAAATTATTAATAAATTTTCAAACAGTAATTGAATTTTAGAGGTAATTTTTAATTAAAAAATGTTTTATTTAATTGAATTTTTGAATAATTGGATTAAAATTATTAATTTAGCAAAGAATTTTAGATACAAATTTCAGAAATAATTGAATTTTTGAAGAATTCGAGTTAAGATTTTTAGAAATAATTGAATTTTTTGAGATTTTTTTTAATTAAAATTATTGTTTTAAAATACTAAATATTTTATATAAGCTTCCGATTCAAAGTTCTAGGATTTAAAAATTCGAATTACTTAAAATTCTTCTGAATGAGAATTATAATAAATTAAAAATATGTTAAATTAGAATTCTTTTCAAGAAACAGTTGGGTAAAGAAAAATTTTGTAAAATAAAAATTCGGTACTTTAAAAATTCTGTTGTGTAAACATTCGTTTAAAAAAAATTCTGTATTAAATGCTATTTTGTAAAATAAAAATTTATGTGAAAAATCATTTTTACGGAATAATCATACGTTTGTACCGTTGTGCCACAAACAAAAAATTAATCGAAATTTAACAATTATTAGATAGTTTTTTTTTAAATAATCAGAAGAAAAATTATGTTAATTTTATTCCTTAGAATTTTTCTTTAAATTTTTTTAGACAAGAAAATATTTACATATTACGTCAAACTTAGAAATTTAATTTTACTTCATTTTAAAAATGCCACTTTTTTGATACTTTTTTTCAATTTTGGGGGAATTTTTTTTTTTTAATTATACTTTTTCATAATTTCCTTAGTTTCTTACTACGCTTTGAAGCCTGGTACAATTCATGTTTAAAATTAAAATTTCAAAATTAAAAAATTTTATTAAAAATTTTATTAAATAATTATCAATAATGAATTGTACAGTTATTTTTTTTTTTACGAATTATAAGATTTTCTAAAAATATGCCGCAACGATTTTAGATTAAATATAATAAAAAGACCCCAATTTTTTTTTGTTCAATCGAGACGATGTTGTTTATCAAAAATTGTGTCAATCTATTAAATTCCTCAAGCACGCATTTGTATTTAACATTGTTTAATCATTTTGAATATTATAATATTTTGCACTATGATTATATTTAATTTTTAATCTACGAATTGTTAAAAATGTGGATTGTATACTTGGGGGAAAAAAAAGAACGAAGGAGAAGATTTGACATTTACATTAATGTATATCAGGTGCGTAAAATTAGTGTTTTAAATTTTATTTTTCATTTTCATTGACTCTTGATGCACATCAATTATATATATATATATATTTTTTTTTTTCACTTATGTTCACGTCGATTTCATCGCAAATAATATCTAATCCTTTTTTTTCATACAATTTCTTCATGGAAATTTGCGAAATATTTTATTAATTAATAATTAATACACTTGGGGGAAGGGGGTCGAATTGCAAAATTCCTGAAGAAAAAATAAATAAAAAAATAAATTAATTCTTTTAAAAATATATTGGGATTGTCATTTTTCTGTGAAAATTTATATTTTTTTTTTCTCACAAAAATACAATTATTTTAGAAAAATTTTATACATGTTTGACGATAATTTTTAATTAGTGTTTGTATTTTATCATTATGGCTTTGCTTGTTTGATTGTATATGTATAAATTTATTTATTTTTTTTTGTAGAACGCAGTTCTACGATCACTTTTCACACATTGATGTATTTAATAGTGATTTAAAAAAATACCTCATGTCTTTAATTCAATCAAAAAAAAAAAAAAAAAACTTGCTTTCTTTCGTTTCACTTGAACAACTGTTTTGAAAATTAAAAAAAAATATTTTTATCACTAACAAAATGTTTACTCCTATTTTCAGCTTAAATTTTTTTATTTTGAAATTTTTTAAAAATAATATTAATATACAAAAATTTTAATAATTTCTATTATTTTAGTATATATATATATATATATATATATATATATATTTAATAATAATTCTCTTTTGTATGAAAAAAAAAGTTTCTTGAAATAGAAATAAATATTTTTTTCTCTTTCTCTCTGATAGTAATGAAGACTCGAGGTTGATGTTTTTTAATTGAGGATTTATATAGCAAAAAGTGGGACTTTTTTTCTGTTATAGGAGCGAAAACAGTCAGTTCGTGTTCAATAGAGATGAAAACATTTCCAGCGGGAAAATAAGCGAGTGATTTGAAGGAAGTCAAAGGGCTCACCAATGTTTCGTCAAAACGTTGAATTGACGCCCGACGTCATCCAATTTGACTGGATAAGTTTCTCTATACAGCACATTCCAGCGATTCAAAAGAAAAAAAAATCCGACACAAGAATTGAGATTTACTAAATTAACGCGACTCCTGGAAATTTAAAAGCTTTTCAAAACGTCATTTTCAGCCTAGAAAAAAAAATTACTAAACGTGCAAAACGAAAAAATCATATTTGTGCACGACAATCGGATATTTTAATAAATTAAAAAAGGCTGAATTTTTTATTTGCATGCACATTTGGAAAAATTATATGTACACATATCTTTTTATTAATGATCCATTAATAATTGTTTAATATTTTGAGAAAATTTCTCAAGTTTGCGAACAAATTTTCTTTTTTTTTTTTTTTTGTTGCTTTTTAATATTATTTAAAAGTTTCCTAATGTGAAAAATTATTTATTTTAAAAAATAATTAATAATTTAATTATAATATAATTAAATTTTTTATTTTATTTCGTATTTTCACGAATTTTTTTTTTTTTTTTTTGTCATTTGTGTCTATTTATAATTCACCAGCTTCTATTTCGATTCGCACTCGTTCGAAAGTGATAAAAGAAATCGAATCCTAAGGCTGTAGTTGTATGCAATATTTATTATTTTATACGAATATTTTATTTATTATTATTATTATTATTCTGCACCTATTTTTATTTTAATTTCAACTCCTTTTTTTTTTTTGTTTTATTATCAATTTATTCTAATGTAAAATTTCCTCGAGTTGATTAATATTAATTAATTACTTTATTATTATTATAAATAATTATTTGATATTAATGGATAAATTGAATTAATATCTGATTAATTAGTTAATTACTAAGTTATATAACATTTGCTTACATTCGTATTGGGAAAAATTCAAAAAAAAAAAATTATTTCCATCATATAAAAATGTTTTATAGATATAGCTTTGGTTTTTAAAAATGCTCTCAAGAATTTTGGATCATGCATTTAAAAAGCAAAAAAAAAAACAAAATTAAACATGCGCCTGAGAGCTAAAGGCCTATTTTTAAATATCTATATACTATTTCCCGAAAAAAAAAATTTAAGAAAATATTTAATTGAGCGAGAAAGAAAGAACTGTTATTTAAAAATAAAAGCCATTTTTATACGCCGCGAGACAGCAATATTTAGAATATGTGATCCTGTTCGATGTAAAGCTTTTTATTGAGTCAATAATTGATTCAATGGAATTTTCATTCAAATGTGAATACCTAAATATAATGTAAAAAAAAAATTTTCATTTACATCAAAAAAAAAATTTTTAGTCATTTTAAAAAAATGTATATTTCATCTAGTGAAAGACTAGATTTTTTTTTGAAAATTCTAATTAGTTATTTGTTTTTTAATTTAATGACAATTTTTTTTTTTTACTATAATTTTCAGAATTATAATTATTATAGGTATGAATTTACAATTATTTTAATTATTTATAAAATAATAATAATTGTTTATAATTTATCTAAATTATACAATTTTTTTTATATATAATAATTATTATAATTATTATTAAAAAGTTTCACAAAGAAACAGCTGTCCAAAAAAGAATTGCTATAGGGTGTTAATTAATTATATATAGTATTTATTTTAAAGAGCCATACATTTTTTTTTAAAGTTACTTAAATTATTCAAAAAAAAATTTCACATTTTGTCACATATGTATTATTTAATAGATTTATTTGTAAAAAAAAAAATAATCAATTTTAAACTATTCTGGCTCTCTGGTGCAAGTATATTGTTATCTGATGAAGATATAATGTAAGCTATAATTTATAATAAACATTTTAATGTATATACAATTTTGAAATTTCTTTTCAGATATATTGATTTTCTTTTTTCATCTCTATATAATATATTAAACGGGCTAAAAATGATATAATTTAAATAAATTTATTCTATAAATTATATGGTAGAAAATTAAAAGCTTCATTTTTTTTCTCTTCTTTTTTTTAAATAATTAAGTTCATTTATATTATTTTATATTATTTAAAGTGTAATTTTTTTTAAATTTGAATTTTGCCGCTCAAATTCGTTATTTGCATTAAAGTACGTTCACAGCTCGCAACGTTGTCATGGTAACGAAATTGAAAATTAATATCACTGTTCTACCAACCAACCTTGTTTTAACGTTCATGTTCTTGAAAAAGGTTATGTTACTGTTACCTTTTCATATATATACATGTTGTAAATTTTATAAATTTACTCAGATTAAATGTAAAATTAAATGTCTAATTATTTTATTTAACTCAGGACATTTTTGACATATAACAAGTGAAAATCAGTTTGTGAAAATATAAAATTATGCTTAGAAATTAGCATTATTGACCTTTGTTGTTTTGTGATTCAAAACATTGCAGGTAAAAAGTTCCATAAATATATTCTATTTTGCAAATTTGCATAATATTTTGAAAATAATTACATCTTTGAAATAGAAAATTCGACATTTCTATTGTAGAAAGTCAATTTAAGACTTATTAAACTAAAAGCTTATGTTATTTAGTTATTTAAAAAAAAAAATTTTAACTTTATAAAAATCGATTATTTAAAAAAATATGAGAAATTAAAAATAATACCATAATTTTCTATTACGGGGCGTTTGAATCAGTTTCGGTGTATCAATTACGGTGACCAAAATTACGTGTATTTTGAAGATACTTTGCCCACCGTAATTGAAGGCAATGGAAATCTTAAAAATGTTTCAATTACGACGAGGGTAAAAATTTGATAACAAAAAATTAAATTAATAATTGTTTAAATGTGCATCTTTATTAGTAATTGTATCAAAAAAAAAAAAAAAAGATTAAAATAATTTTTTAAAATCATTTTGCAACAGTTATATTAAATATAATAGTAATAATTGTTATTTTTTATGAATGCGCCGTAAAGGTTAAAAAAAAATATAGTTACCAATTTTGAATAATTAACATGGAATTAATTTCGAAATTATTTTTTGAAACATTCAAAACATCTAAAATTATTTATTTTTTATTTTTATTTATTTTTACATAATGTAATTAAAGGCGCATTGCCTCCTTTACATGAGGGTTATGTCCTTAAAAAACTATTCACATAAACAGAAAGCCCTAATCTTAACTAAATTGCTAATAAAATAAAAAAGACTTTTCGCGGTTTCAATTTTATCCACTTTCAATATGTTCGTAAGCGAAATTCTATTAATATTTTCTCTACAACATTCCTTATACGCAGGACAATCAATAAGAACATGTTTTAAATTTTCATTTCTACGCATATTGCACATCAGACACTTATCATTGTCACTGAAATTATATACATATCCCGGTTTTAAATTTATTTTCCACTCTGATCTTCCTGCTAATCTTAATTGAGCTAAAGTTCTTGTAATTTTCAAAGGTATCTTCCAATTAATATATGTCTCCGTAAACATCTAAAATTATGAATTACTTTATTTTTGTTAGACTCATTACTGCACTTTTAATCAACCTTGTTATTTTGAGGACAAAAATTAATGTTGCTCAACACTTAATTAAATTGTATTGGAACAATTTTGATAATGTCGTCCAATCAGGAACTAGAGATATTTAAGGAAGAACCCCTGTCGCCCTCGATGTCAGAAGATTTTGATGGAGTTGTTGTGGATGATTGGGTTTCGTCTGATGATGATTATGATAATAATAAAGTATCTGTAGGAGATACAATTATCAAAGAGGAGATCGATGCAAATGAAGGAACATATCATCCCACTTATGCACATGTTGCAACCAAACTTTTAGAAGAATTAAATGATTTTATCAAAAAAGGTTTAATATTTTATATTTTTTTCTTCGAACTATTGAAATTTAAATATACAGAATTAGCGAATTTTAAATTTCGTTAATTGGAATGGTAGCGATTCTATGCAATTAAACTCTACACAAATGAATTCTACACAGTAAACTGTACTTTTTTTTTCAAAATTACGAATTTTTCGACTCATTTTAAAAAGGTGGGACTTTTTCGACTTTTTTTTTACATTTTTTTAAAAAAAATTTTAAACAAAATACGTTTTTTTCAGTATACAATTCAGACTTTCTTTATTTAAATTATTTAATAAATGTTTAACTAAAATTCTTCGTAAAATTAATTATTTTTAATAATTTTAATGAAATTCTTCAAATTCAATTATCTTAAACTATTTTTCAATTTATTTATTTATTTATTGAAAATATACGGGTAGAGCCCATTCGTACAAAGTACTATATATAAGGAATTGTACGAATCAAAAACAAAAAAATTAGTTGGCCGCATTAACATTATTGTTGTTATTGTCGTATAAAAGGTTATGCAGTTTTCTTAGAAAAGAGTTTAAAGAAAGAACAAAAAAATTAATATTACTACTGAACTGATTTGCCTCCCTACGCAATCTGTTAATTACAGAATTATCTAAATAGTCAGTTCTGAAAAAAGGTACATTAAACAATTGCGGATGTCTTGCGAATCTTTGCGGTATATGAAAACCAAATAAACATAACAGTTCAGAGCAGTTAATAATACCATTAATAATTTTGAACAAAAATAATAGATCAGTTAACATAAATCTTTGAGATAATAATGGTATTTTAAATGTCACACGTAAATCTGTGTAATCATGATTCTGTTTATCTACAAGCATACCAATTTGACCAGCTATAAAACGCAAAAATCTATTTTGAACACGTTCAATATCAATCTATCAGGCAATTAAAATTTTATAAAATTTAATAATAGTTTATAATTTTAAAAGAATTATCAAATAAAATTATCAAAAAATTTTAATTCAGAATCAAAAATTTTAATTATTTTTTATAATTTTTATAATATTCATCGAAAATTCAATTATTTGAAAGCATTTTTCAATTAAAAATTTTTGGAATTCAATTTTTTTTCTGTGATTTTTAATAAATTCTTCATCAACAGAAACCACTAAAAATTTCTATTTTTAAAATTATTGTCTGAAATTTAACACAATCTTTTGAAATTTAATTATTTTTAAAAATTTCAATTTAAAAGCTTCTAAAATTTAATTATTTGTAAAATTTTCCATCTAAAATGTTTTGAAATTTAATAATTATTTTCAATTATAACTCTCTTGAAATTCAATTATTTTTAATGATTTTTATAATATTCTTTAAAAATTCAACTATCTAAAACCGCATTTTTCACTTGAAATTTTTCAAATTATTGTATTTTTGTCGTTAATTTCTAATAAATTTTTTAATAACAGAAATCATCAAAAATTTTAAGTTAAAAATCACTTGAAATTCATTTATTTTCAAAAATCTAAATTGTAAATCTTTGAAAATTCAATTATTTTTAAAAAATGTTATCTAAAATTATTTGATAAATTATTTTTATTTCTGTAAAATTTAATTATTGTCTAAAAATTAACAAAATCTTTTGAAATTCAATTATTTCTAAAAAAATATCAACTTTAACTCTTCCAAAATAATTATTTAAAAAAATTTTTATTTATAAATCTGTAAAATTTGATTAAGTATTGCCTGAAAATTTTTTGACCATCAAAACTAAAAACTAGGACAAAATTTTTAATTCGAATAAATCAGACTTGAAAAAATTATAAAAATGGAACTTTAAAAGTTTTTTTTTTGAAATTTGTCCTACTTAAATAAAATTTTGAAAATTTGTCTTACAATTTTATTATTGTGCTTTTCATATAGAATTATAAATGAATATTTTTTTCTGTAGAGTTTAATTTTCTAAAAATTAATATTAAAATAAGTTAAAATGTCAATAATTCAATTGTGTAGAATTTAATTGCATAGAATTTGAAAAAAATTTATTAAAACAAAATATATTTATTTGTATACAGTTTTTTGGTGTTCAATTTAACGGCGTAGAGTTTAAATGCGTAAAATCATTATCAATCCTCGTTAATTTAATATATTCATACATTTACGATATTTGGTATTTTATTATTTTTATTACAGAAGATGTGAATGAAAAGGATGATAATACAGAAATTAAAGACAATTTTGAAAAGGTGTATGTAAAAAGTGAAGTGAATAATGAAATTGTAGAAAAACAATTTCCAATAACTGAAAAACAATCTGAATCAATAGAAATAAACAACTCTAAAGTAGAAGAAAAACAATTTGATAAAGTTGAAAAATGTTCAAATATTTGGGAATTTAAAAAACATGATAAATTTTTTATGATTATGAAGCTCGGAAAAAATATTATATATGGACCTGAATGGTGGTGTACATTTCCAGAATATCAGCAAAAAGAATTAGCAGAAAAAATTAAGATTTTAATTGAAAAAGATCCTGATGGTGTGCATTTTTTAGATGGCACCTTTTTTATTATTAGAAATAATCGTTTGAAAATTGTGAGTTTCTTTTTAAAGAAAAATACGTTTTATTTACTTTTTTTTGCAATTTTGAAACATGAATAATTTATAGGTGGACAGAAGACTAGTTGCTTATGACGATAATGGAAAAAGATCATTAACCACACAACCAACTTTTGCATTAACAAGAAATATGAAGATAAGATGTCCAATGTCATGGTTGATGGTTGCCCGTCAAACCCGAAGTAGATGGGGAAATGAAATTAAGCAAATGATACATAAAAATGGTGGCAATATGTATAAACCATTTACATTTAATGGCTTTAGATATAAAATTATTGACTCACCTTTTAAACATGAGAAAAGTGTCATTAAAGAGGGGATATTAAAAAGAGTAAGTAAAAATAAAATAAAATTATTATTGAAAAGAAAGAAAACTAATATTTTTTTTTGTTGTAAATTTCAGATTTATACGTAAAATTTAAAATGAATCCTTTTTTCTTAGGATATCATGATTTTGGTAAGTTGTATATAGATATTTTTAAATTCTAGAGATTCTTTTTAGGGAATCAATTTAATTGTGGGAGAAAAGAAATTCTATAATATAAAATCTTTTTGCTAATCTTCTGATAAGATTACTGAGAAAATTTCTGCCTTGATCTGTTAGAACTGTTTATCGGGAAACAAAAATTAGGGTTGCCACGAGTCAGGAAATTAAAAAAAAAAAGTTGTGGACAAATATTTGTAAACCTAGATTTCCCATTACAAGGTACTAAATCCTTAAAAACATTGAATTCTCCTTGAGTTTATAATTTTTTTTTACCTTGAAAATATTTAAATCACTTTGAATTTTAAAACAAAACCTTGAATTATTAGAATTACGTTACGTTTTTTGAAATAATTGTATTTCAAGCGATTTTAAACTGAAATTTTTTGTAAATTCATCATACTCCTGAATTTTTTAATACAAATTTCGGACAATTATGTATTAAAGTTTAGAAAATTTTTTATTTAAATTTTTTAAAATTTTTCATTTGGTGAACATTTTTAGATAAAAATGTAAAAACACAAAGATTTTTAAAATTAATTGAATTTCAGAAGATTTAAAATTTGAATTTTTTGTTAATTTTAATTGCTGAACACGTTTTTTTAAACAAATTTTTAACAATAATTGAGTTTTTTATTTTATTTATTTACTAGAATAAACGGGTGTATTTTAGAGAATTTTTAATTAAAATTTTTTGCAAATAATTGAAATTACGAAGAATTTTTATTAAAATTCTTTTAATTAATTAAATTTTCAAAGTTTATCAGTTAAATATTTTTAATGATTAAATTTAAAAAAAATTTTTAATTGAAAATTTGAAAAATATTTAAAAGTATAAAAAACTTTATTGATATAAATTTGTTTTAAGTAAAATCAAAGTTTTTAATAATAAAATGAAATTTTTGAAAAATTTATAATATAATTTTTTTATAAATAAATAAATTTTTGTGGAAATTAAAATTAATATATAAAGAAATAATTTTCATTTGGTAATTGGTTAAATAGTTAAATTACTGTAGAAATTTATTGAATTTTTTGAAATGATTTTTTGAAAATGATAAAATTTGCAAAGAGTTTTAGTTTTCATTTTTTTTTTTTTTACAAAATAACATAGTTATATGAATTTAATAGAAATTTTTCAATATTCAAAGAGTTGCAATTAAAAGTTTTGACTTTTTCTATTTTTAAAAGATTTCAAACTAAAAATTTCGAAAATAATTTTATTATCAAAGAATTTATTTAAAACTAGCTGTCGCACCCGTCTTCGACGGTTATAATATTTAGATTTAATAAATTTTGAAATTTATAATTGAGCTGCCGGATCAAAGAAGGGCACATAACTAATGTAACTCAAATGGGTTATGTGCTCTTCTTTGATCCGGCAGCTCAATTACATCCAACTAAGATACGTGTTCTCCTGGTATTAAAATATCTTTTTATAAATTTTTAATTATTATTTATTCAATTCAATTTAATTTTTTCACTGCTTTTAATAAAATTAAAATAATTTAAAATTGTATTTAATTTTATAGTATTGAAAATAAAAATTATTTTAATCAATACAATTTAAATTAAAATTTTAAAAAACTTTAAAAATTATTTGAAGAATAAATTTTTAATAGAAAAATTTCTTTTAAATAAAATGAAAATAATTTAATTTTATTATATTTATTATATTATATTATATTTAAGTTTATTTAGTTTATTTAGTTTTATTATATTTAAAAATAATTTGTATCAATAATAATAATAATAATAATAATAATAATAATAATATTCAATAATAATAATAATAATTTAAATATAATAATTGTTAATTTCAAAGAGTAAAAAAGTAATTTTCGATTTTTTATTTTTACAATATCTGATTTCATATTCAGATTTGCAATTATTAATTTTAAAATTCTGATAAAATTCTTAAAATTTCTTGTTAAAAGCATACTTAATTGGTCACAAAATTTTAAATAAAGAACGTTTAGTAAAGAATTATCAAAAAATAAAAAATGTTAAATTTTTTAAATTTTTTGAAAGTGTCATATTTTTGTTTAAATTAATATTTTTCATTGGTGTGCAGCTAAGATTGCGTTTAATACCCAACAGACTAAAAACATTATTGTTTTACTTATAAAAAGTTGAACATAACGAATTCTTATATTACAATGTTATTAAAAAAAGTGGAAATTCAAAAATTTGATTTAGACTTTTAAATTCAGACTATTTACTTAATTTAATAAAAAAAATTGATTGTATTTATGTGAAAAAATTAGGTACAAATAGTTTCAAATCAATCTGACAAAAAATAAAAAATTTGCATTTTTTTTTATTTTTTTAAATTTTTTGAAAAAATGTCATAACTTTCGTTCATGTTAATATTTTTTAATCAAATATGGCTAAGATTTTAAGTTACGTTAAGACTGAATGCACTGCCAAGTTTCACCTCAATCGGTTGAGCCGTTTTAAAGTTGTGCCGGTACAAAATATTGACGACAGACAGACAGACAGACAGACAGAATTTTTATTTATGGCATATTTGTTATCTTTACTACTTAAAATGATAAACTATGCAAGAAAAAATTAATTTGGAGCAATGTACAGACAAAAGTCTAATTTTATTAATATAGATTAGGGAAAAAATTAAGTTTTTTTAAAATAATAATAATAAGTTAAATTATAATTTTGAAAATAATAAAATTTTCGAATATATTGAATTAAAAGAATTGAAATTTCGAAAAATTTGATTAAAAACTTTGAAAATAATTGAATTTTTAAAAAGAATTTAATTAAGACTTGAAAATATGTAGTTGAATTTTTGTAAGAATTTGAATTGTTCATTATACAATGTTTGGTTAACATAATTTTCATTTGATCGAATATTCATTTATCACAATTTTTGTTTAATAGAATTCACATTTGATAGAAAAGAAGAAAATTCGAAAATGACGGAAAATCACAAAATATTCTCTGGAAGTCAGGGAAAATTATAATTAAATTTTAGTGGCAACCCTGAAATGTAGATATAATTTTTTTTTTTTTATTATTAATTCACCTGTTATTGTACTTGTAAAGTAATTTGAAATTGCGATAGCTAATGAATATTTAGTTGAATAAAATTTTTTTCTTTCGTTATAGGTATTAAACATTCTACAATGTCCGTAAAAAATTTTTTTTCGAAAGCTATGCCCTGAATATCTGTGATAATCATAAAATTTTTTTTATTAATAATAATCATAATTGTTATTTAATTAAAATTATTTAATTATTTTTAATTATAAAATTTTTTGTTTTAATCCGTTGAGGACCAAATTTTTTTCTTGAAAAATTGTAGTTTTTTTTTTATAGCTAAACAAGTATTTTCGAGAAAAATAATTAAAGTTTTTCGTTTGAAAAACAGAGTTTTTAAATTCAAAATTTACTAGATTAAATAAAAAACATTGTTTCAATATTCAGTTTTAAAAATGAAAAAATTTATGCAAGATTTCTCAAAGGGTTAATACATTAAATTAATAGTAACTTTTTTTTTCAATTTATCATTTAAGACAACAAAAGACTGAATAATAAATATATCTCTGTAAAAATATCTATTTTCATATTCTTATAATAAAAGTTTGAAAAAAATTATTAACAACGAATTTTCAATTTAAAAACTTTTTGACATAACCAAAATGACATAATTTTAATGTTTTTTTTTGTTAGAAAATATTATTAAAACTTGTAAATCACTAAATTATGATAAAGTTTAATTAAAAACAGAATGTCTTGAATATAAAAACATTTTTATAGAAATAAGCTATTATAAATTTTTTATTTTAAAAGTAACTGCGTATAGTGGTTATGTGAGAAAAGTAATTTGTTTCAATTTCTCGAAATAAGAAAATAAGGAATTATCATGTTTTGAAAACTTGCTCCTTAATTTAAATGCTTATGTGACAAATGTCATTTTTATAATTTTCTCAAAATAAAATATGGATTTATTAATTTTTGAAAATTTGCAAATTTGAAATATCCAGAAATTATGAATTCGACTTAATAATCATTATGCTCTTTTCATTTTTGAGATAAATGCACGCAATATCCATTATAAAAATAAAAGAAAAACGAGTAAATAAAGAATTAATAAAATTGTCAGAAATGTAATTTTTTTTTCTCAATTTTTTGCAACGTTTGCATTCTAAAAAAAAAATATTAACTAAAATAAAACATTTGATTGGATATGAAATTTATAAGTTCAAGATGGCGCATTGAAAGAGCAATTTTGATTGGTGCAACATACATTGAATGTGCCCACGAACCAACCTTATATTATCACATTGTTGGTAAAACGGAACTTTTCCTTGATTTCGGGGAAATTTTCTTCACTCTTCTTTATGGACGTATTGTAAAACGAATGTGTAAATTATTATTTGGCTAAAAAGCGGTGAAGATGAGTTACTAGTCGAAATTCGGCTTGCACACGCAAGTGTGCCTACACACCAATTAATCATGTCGTAAGTTTATTTTAATTTTTTCCCTTAAATTGTCTTTTTTTAACAACTAAAATTCAAGCTTAACATGCAGCTGAAAACAACGCGATAATGGCGACATATTCTTAGTGTGTCATTCTTATTTTCTATTCTCTGTCATTTGACAATGAAACAACAATAACATTGACTATATATATATGTATATGTATATAATCTTTTGTCACATGAAATTTTTTTTAACCTAAAATTTTAACTTTCAAATATGTAACAAATTTTTTTTTTCTTTTTTTTGTTATAAGTTGTACAATGACGTCATTGAAGGGTTGCATCATGTTATACCATTTAAGAATTTCGAAAGAATGAAAGGAAAAAGTTACTCTTCCAATTCGAGTTTAAATATTAAACTTGGATTAAAATGGATTTTGATTAGAATTTCAAATTTAGAGATAAGATCCAGGTGAAAGTTATTTTTATGGAACAGGCTGTAAAATAAAACTTAAGGGTGCTTTCCATATGCTCAGCAATTAGTGGCCTTTATTTTTTTTTTTTTTTGTTTTTATGGAAACTATTGGTGTTTTCTATTTTTAGTGTCACTCAAAATAATTTTAAAAGTTTTTATAAATATAGATGATCTATTTTTCTTTTTAAAGAAACGTGTATGTTATTTTGAAAATAATTAAATTTAAAAATATTCAAAACAACATTATATTTTCTATTGATTTCAACTATGTTTTTTTTTTGATATTTTAAACTGTTTGATAAATTATAGGTTATGTTATCTAAATTTTAAAATTATTATTATTATTATTGTTGTTTTCAAAAATATTTAAAAGTTAAAAAAAAGAATTTATTACTTTTTCATGACAAATTAATAATTTATGTTTAAAATTAGTCACATTAAATATTAAGTTATGACAAAATGTTATCAGTATGATTTTCAATATTTGTTAATTATATTTTGTGTTTTAACATTTAATATTTCACCATTAAGGAAATTTGCAAAAATAAGATTAAACAATGAAAATCAAATTACTGTTTTTGTTTAAAATTATTACTAATGTAGTTTTTCTTTTAAATATAATTAAAAATTTACTTTAAAGGTAAATTAAAAAATGGATTTAAAATACCCGTAAAAAATAATAATGGAAAGTGGAACAATTACAAGTTATTGAAAATAATTTTTTTTTATGGACATGGCACAATTTTACTAATGCAGTTTTATTTTAATTTCAGGCTTCGAAGTGACACACTTTTTTACTTTTTTGATACTTTTTTCGACAAGGCTATTTTTTTACTACTAATTTTGTCCAAAAGCCACTAAATGCTACTTTTTAAAAAAAATAATTTTAAAAATAGGATAGAATTCAAGAAATTTAAGTTTTAGCAAATTTTTTGATTCCTAAAAGCTTGCCAAGTTGATGATTTATTATTGGCCTCAACTAATGCTTTATATAATTATTTTTTACACGAATTTTCATTTTTCAAAATAGCATTTAACATAATTTCTTTTTAAACGATCTTTTACTCAATAGAATTTTTAATTTGGCAAATTTTTTTGACACAATTTTTATTTTACAAAATTTCTCTTTACCCAACTGTTTTTTTAAAAAAAATAATTCTAATTTAACTGTAATTCAGACAAGAATTAAAATTTACAGTATTTTGAATTGAAAAATGTTTTAAATAATTGAAATGCCAAGATCTTGATTGAAGTTATTAGAAATAATTATTTCAGCAAAAAAATTGGATTAAATTTTTTGATAATAATTGAATTTTAGGAGATTTTGAATTAAAATTGCTGAAAATTATTCATAAATTTTCAAACAGTAATTGAATTTTAGAGAATTTTTAATTAAAAAATGTTTTATTTAATTGAATTTTTGAATAATTGAATTGAAATTAATAATTTAGTAAAGAATTTTAGATACAAATTTCAGAAATAATTCAATTTTTGTAGAGTTCAAGTTAAGATTTTTAATTAAAATTGTTGTTTTAAAATGCTAAATATTTTATATAAGCCTCCGATTCTTAGTTCTAGGATTTAAAAATTCGAATTACTTAAAATTCTACTGCATGAGAATTGTAATAAATTAAAAATAGATGAGCCAAAAGTTTTGAACGTTCAAATGAACAAAATTTTTTTCACAACTTCTTTAAGTATGAATTTTATTACAAAATATTGTTTTAAATACCTAAAAAGAAGTTAATAATTTAATAATTGTTTAATTTACTGTTTTATTTTACATTGCCGTTATAATTTTTAATAATTTATAGATTGAAAAAGATATTTTGTTCATTTGAACGTTCAAAACTTTTGGCTCATAAAAATAGGTTAAATTAGAATTTTTTTCAAGAAACAATTGGGTAAAGAGAAATTTTGTAAAATAAAAATTCTGTCAAATAAAAATTCGGTACTTTGAAAATTCCGTTGAGTAAATATTCGTTTTAAAAAAATCCTGTATTAAATGCTATTTTGTAAAATAAAAATGCCAAAAACAAAAAATTAATCGAAATTTAACAATAGATAGTTTTTTTTTAAATAATCAGAAGAAAAATGATGTTAATTTTATTCCTCCGAATTTTTCTTTAAATTTTTTTAGACAAGAAATTTTAACGTTAAACTTAGAAAAATAATTTTATTTCATTTTAAATATGCCACTTTTTTTATACTTTTCTCAATTTTGGTGATATTTTTTTTTTTTTTTAAATGTACTTTTTCATATACTTTTCTTAGTCTCTTACTACACTTCGAAGCCTGAAATTTAATTAAAAATTTACTTTGAATAAAAATTAAACAAAATTTAAAATAATAATGGAACGTTTAACATTTGCCAGTTATTAAAATTAATTCCTTTTTTTTTTAGGGCCATCATGGCACTTTCCGCCAACATTGTCGCTTTGACGACACAAATTTCTGTTAATCAACTTTTAATTAAATTGGATTGGAATAATTATCATAATGTCATCCAATCAAGAGCAGGAGATGTGGTTTTGGAAGGTAGAACCCGTGTCGCCCACGGTGTTGGATGGTGAGGATGAATGGCTTTCTTTTGATGATGATGACGACATATCTGCAGGAGATACAAGCGTCAAGGAAGAGGTCGAAAATGAAGAGCCAAATCATCCCACGCGTGCCGAAGTTGCAACTAAACTTTTAGAAGAATTAGATGAATATATTAAAGAAGGTAATTATTTATTTTTTTCAATATTATTAGACTTTTTGGTATATCAAAAAGAAAATTAATGTATTAAATTTATTTAGAAATAATTAAATAGACGCAAAGTCTTTAAATACATGCCGATGAAGTTAACAACGTTTATGAATAACGGTTGGGGAAAAAAAATAAAATTTTAATTTTGCAAATAATAAATTTTTGCCTACAAATTTTAAAATTAAAATGAAAAATTCAAAATTGTTAAACGAGAAATGTTGCAACAAAATTTTTCATAAAAAAATACAATAATTTGCGGAGAAAGATATTTCAACGAAGTTTAAATACACTAGAAAGTACTAAAAAAAAGAAGACGATGCTGAAGTACGTAACGTTTATGATCAACGATTAGAAATCAATTTTTATTTAACACGGAAAATTATAAAATTGTTTACCTAAAAAAATATTTTTTTTATATATAATTTGTTGATTAATAAAAACTACAAGAAATATTTTTTAGGCAAAAAATTATGGAATTTTTCATTTTAAAAAATTGTTTTTTTAAAAAATCATTTATCATAAACGTTGCGTACTTCAACATCGTGAAAAAAAAGTTTAGAAACTATATCAAAGAAAGGGGAAAAAAAAGAACAATTTTAATAATGTAATTAATTT